TTAGTAGGACTCACCTTTTAATTAATACGGGACCTAGCATATTCACGTTCTACTTCGCGAGATGATTAACGTGATATATTTATTTGTCGAAAACCATTTAAAATTAAATGAAATATTAAGTGTTAAAGTAACCCACATAAACTAAGTATTATGGAAGAATTTGATTTTTCAAACACTTATCCTACATAGAAAAATTAGGAAACTTTGGAGTGGTTTATAAGGTGGAAGTTTGGAATTGGGTTTGGGCCCCAAGGGGTGCCAATAGTCTTTGGAAGGGGAAAAACTTATATCCTATTGGGTTCGGTCATAAACCCACACGCGCGTGCCGTCGTCGCCGTCCGTCCGACCGGCCGGCTCGACACGGTATGAGCATGTGCCCTGCCCGTGTCCGAGTTCGGTTCGAGTCGGGTGGACTTTTGCACTATATTAACTTTTTGGACAAAATTTATTTAAAATTTTGGATCAACTTGTAAATAATCAAATTCTTGGGTACATTATGAAATTTAAATTTTAGCTTAGTCCGGGTGTTTTTTTTCTTTTAATAGCCGTCTGTTTATCGACCAAACAGTCGATTGTTAACCGACTTACGCGACCCTTAAAACAGCATGTCTATTCGAATTTTTGAGATTTGTGTGAAAGGTGATGACTGTTCGAATGGCCACGAACAAGTCTATAAATAGCCTGCTTCTCTACCAAAAAATTTACACCATTTTCATTGCAAACTTTCTGTGCTTTGAATCTCATTCCCTCTCTCTCGTTCTGATATTGTCTCGAAATAAAACACATTTCGTTGAGTTCGTTGGAACTCCTGCAGATTGCAGTGCTGCTTCCGTAGGAGACAAAAATTCGTTCTATCCTGGGAAACGATTGCTGGACGCCTTTATCACCATTGAAGGCAGCAAATTCGTTTTAAGGAAATATCGTAAAGTCGGTGGGCTCGAATTACTTTTTGGATCCTGTTGATCATTTCTTTACATTCAGGTGATTCTGTCGGATTGGTTTCGAAGGAGAAACGTCAAACTCTAGAAACAACAGTATTATCAGTTATATTTTATATGGTAAATAGTGTATTATGTATATAAAATAGTATGTAGTATTTTATAAAATGATATAATTTTGTTGGGTAGATATGATTTTTTCCCAAATGTGTATTCAGTTATCAGGGCAAGGAAAAAAACGCAAGCCCAACACGTGCCAGATCGTGCCAGGTTGTATTCGTGTGAGCCAATAAGTTTTAATTAAATTATGCTTTTAAATTATAATTAAAAATGAACTCTAGATTAAAAATTTATTTTCTGCCAAATTTCTCATCTTCGCACCAAACTAAGAAACTCGATTTAATTTTGAGATTTAAATAATCAACCAAATTACAATAATCTATTTAAAATTAGATTTACAGATCATATTCAGCTGGAAAAATCATATAGTATTAGGCTACTCGTGTAAATAGATTGGTATAGTCTATACAGAAGACCTTAAATTATCAACGCCTTATCTTTTACCCAGTCTTAAATATATTACCCTAATTTTATTATACAATAGTTTAATCGAAATGAATATAAATATACTAGTTCAGGATTTATATAAGATCACATAGATATCGTAAATCCAATATTTAACTTTAATAATAGAGAAATGTTGCAAGTATAGATTTTATACAGGAAAACAGCTGTCTCACAGGATTTGGCTGCTGACAAAAATCGTTTTTGACAGCAGCAAATCATAGAAAGACAGTTGTCCCAATATATAAAATCTAATAAAAAAATGTACCTGAAGAATAATTCTTAATAATATACTTATGTGTCTTATATATTACTGTTTCAAGGCCTACTTACCATTTACCTAGTCTCAAATCCTATTAATCTAATTTGATTGTATAATAGTTTAATCGAATTGAATATAAAGATTTATACGGGATCATACAAAAATAGTATATCCAATATTTAATTTTAATAATACCTTTGTGTTAATATATAAAATACGATTAAAGAGATCCAACGATTTGTTGTGCCCTAAATCCAAATATTTTTTCCTTTCATTAATAGAAATATTTCAAAATAATAATTAATTTTCTCTTCTTTACACCAAACTAAGAAAAATAATTTTAACTGTTATCCAAAATACGATAACTTGTCTATAATTGAACTTAGTCTTACAATATATATTTGATATACAATATAAGATCATCTCAAGCTCGCAATAGATGGAATTTTAGTTTATTTTCTTGTTAGCTTCCGTTTGGCCCCTATTTTTTCAAATTAAAATGGGTGGAATTGTATTTTTTTTCCTTTAAATGAGTGGTTTTAAAAGAAGGAAAAGCTTTTGGTTTACGAGAAATATTATTTTATGGAAGATTGTGTGATTAAAAATATAAAAGAGAAAAATGAAATTTAATTTAATGAGGCCAAACGGGAGAATATGTCAAGTCAACTATTATAGAACTAAAAGCCCTTGTTCATTTAATTTCAAATCAACTATTTTGAAATGAGTGTTTGAAAAAGAATAAAAAATTTAGGGCTTATTTGATGGGGGAATTATTTTTCACATTTTCAATTGTTTGATTGCAAGCATTTTCCCTGAAATTTATTTCCCCTCGCCCCCCATGTGACCCCTTTCCTTGAATTGGTGTTTAGGTGGGAAATCAATTTCCAATTTTTTTTTCTTTTTTTTTTCCTTTCAATGGAAACAAATTCTATTTACAATTGTAGCATACTCTATCCCTTTAACTGACAATTTTCATGAAAAAGAAAGTCAAATAAACATCAAAAGATCCAAAATCTTAACATTTTTTCATGTGAAAATTATATCAATCAAATACATTTAATTGAAAATTTCCATTAAAATAAGTTCTCGACAATTCAATTCCCTAAAATTCGTTTTCTTTTCACTCAAATTCCGTTTTTGCAATTAAACGAACCTTTGATGAAATTTTGCCTTGTGATCTACTTAACAATCAATTTCCTCTATATAGAATTAAAAGTCCTCTTCATTTAATTATTTAATAGATGACTCATTAGAATATGTCAAGTCAACTATTATAGAGATTTTTCTTGTTAAACACGATTTAAGATTGTGAAAAAAAAAATGACAAAATAAAAAAAAAATCCAAGATGTCACATCAAATATTAATTTAAAAAAAAATAAAAAAAATCTCGCATTCCTCAACTACGCGGTAAGATGTCAATATCTGTTCTTATTATTTTATTTTGTTCAATGAAAGCCAAACATCACTCGCAAGAAATCTCTGAATCACAAACAAACACGCACTCAAGATGTTACGATCATAAATTTGTTTATAATTTAATTTTTTAAGTTATCTGCATACTTTAGATAAGATTTATTGTTAAAACATACTACTTTTATAATCGTTCAATTTGTTTAATTAACACATCAGTGTGATTTTTCTCAACAAGTAATCAAATTTCTAATATTAAAAATTAAAGATCTGAAAATTCATCGAAATTTGTAGTTACGGGCATGTGCCATCATCAAAGCATAATCGCTTTCATCTACCTTGACACAATTTATATACCTATTAATTATAATAGTAAAAAAAATCAAATATAAGAATAATAGATTTATTGAAAGCACAATTGAGAAAATAAAACAATTGTATAAAAAGCATAATCCACCCGATTTGGCCAGACACCTAATGAGCCGAACGACATGTATGCTATTACACCAAAAATATGGTGAGAGAAAACACTCACACCCGTAAGAATGATACTTCAACAAAAGGAGGACAGCCACTCTAGTCACCAACCAAACATATTGTAAGTTTGAAACAATTGAGCATCGATGTCGATGTCACCAATCTTTTGATCTCGTAAAAACTAGGTCGAAAGTAAAAGTGTGTCTACTTTAACATTTAGGTAACATTGAGCTTGCTTATTAAGGTAAAAACTGAGCTAAAATGATCATTACCTTGACTAGAAAGTGTCCCCAAATTGAAGGGAAAACCTCCCAAATCCATAAATGAGAACCTTTCGAGAAATAACCTAGTATAGAGTAGTTAGCTATGATAACACTGCAAACTGTCCTCGTCCAATCAAAATCTCCATAGGATCATTCAGTGGCCTCACTTACCCATGCTCAATCGCAGAAAGTTGGTGAACAATCCCAACTCTCTTCACCCATATAAAGAGGGCATTTCCCATCAATGGGTTAAGCAATCATATTAAGATGATGGTTGGTAGGGATTAAGATTAGATTTTTTAATAGATTGTGTGATATAAGTTTTTAAAATATGTGATTAAAAAGTTGAAAAACCTGTAAAAGATGTAATTAATATTGATTGTTTGACTTTAATTTAAATTAATATTCAATTTTAATCCAAACCAAAGATGCACTAACTCTCTCTAGAATCTTCAATCGTTGCACCCCTACTTCATTGGCAATGGTTAGTCTAGATTCATCTTTTTCTGCAACTTTCACATCAAATCAATCAGAAAAGTACCAAGTTAACCTAAAAAGACCACCTTATTTTTTTAAAATAAAAAATTGCTAAGCATATAAAAATAAACGAACAATATCAAAATAATACAAGAAAACTAAAAATCTTATCTATTTTAGTATCGATCTTATCATCAAATCCGACCATTTCATTTAGCACTAACACTCAAGAAAATTATTTTACACGTGGGTTAGTAACTTAGTACTAATTAGAGAGGATAAAAAAAAAATTATGTCCTCTCTCTACAAGTCAAAAAAGTTTATTACTTTGCAACTTTCTCAGCAGAAACGCAGCCACATCGTCCCACTTTCGTTTTCTTTTCTTGTTTTCTTCTGCCCAATTCAATTCAACAACCGCGACAAATCAATTATTATTAACACGTTTTTTAATGCTAGCACGTACACCAACATTAATGTTTCTTGTTTACAGTTCAACAACTTAATAAATTCTCACACCCGACCAACGACCCTCGTTCATCCCGGACATAAATCTTGAAGAAAAGCAAAACCCAGTTCGAGATTCAGTGTATTGTGAAGAATTTACTGAGATGAGTCAAGATTTTTACAGTAAGATGAAGCTTAGCTCATATTCAGACGAAGACGAGTTTACTTTTATGTCTGAAGGAGTTAATATATCACCAATAGCAGCGGAAGATGCTTTCATTAATGGTCAAATCAAGCCTATTTTTCCATTTTTCAATCAAGATTCGAAGATTTTGTATGAGAATTTGCCTGTGCGGCCCGCAGTGAAGAAGGTTTTTATTGAGAAGAAAGATGGGGAAAAGTCATCCTCGTCTGGAAATGACGACATCAAAGTGGTGGAGGTGGAGGCGTCGGCGCCGTCGCCGGCACGGGAGGTGTGCACGAAGAGTAACTCAACTGGGTTCTCCAAGACATGGCGGTTCAAGGACTCCATGGGGAGAAGTAACAGTGATGGGAGGGATGCGTTTGTTTTCTTGAACAATAGCAATACTCCGCCGCCGTCTTCGGCAAAAGTCAACGGGAAGGTGAAGAACAGCAAGAAGAGTAAAACGGCGTCGTTTTCAGCTCATGAAGTGTACTTGAAAAGTAAAGCCAAAGAAGAGGGTCACCGGAGGTCCTATTTACCTTACCGGACGGGATTAATGGGATTTTTCACCAACTTAAATGGTGGAATAACAAGAAATGTAAACCCCTTTTGAGTGATAAATAAATTTCTTTAAATTATAATTATTTCCTTAATTTCTTTAGCATTTATTTCTATTTTTATTTTTGTCCAAGATGGTTTGACACACAATAGTTAACTTTAACTTTGCTCATTGGAATATGAATAAAACCATGTGTACAAGGTTTTATTTCACGGGAGTCTTATAGACCTCTCTCGTGGGTTGGATTCATGCTGGCCTCGAGGCAATAAAAAAAAAAGGAAAAAAAAATCTCGACCCCATCCCATGTGAGATCCGGTGAGGGGTCTCAGGTCCGTAAATATTGAGGTCAATTTTTGTCACTACTACTAATTTCCTACTTTTTTAATTGAAACTCAATCTTTTTGAATTTCTACTTTTTTGAGTTTTTGGGGGTTAACTTTTGGTTGTGTTTGGATATGTATAACAATTAGACTCTATTTGACAAGTCAATTTATAAGTAATTATAAATTCAATTAATATTAAATTTTAATTTTAATCACATATTTATAATTACTACTTATTATAATCACATAATAATATGATCTATTGTTTCTCGAAGGAGGCATCTGTAAAATTTAAAACAAAAGGAGATTTTAATTGTCATAAATGTTGAAAGAGAATTATGAAATATAAGATAAAAAGGGATTTTGTTATTTTTTAATTACTCTCTCATATATATATATATATATATATATAGGTGAATTCATTGTTAAAAACTAGTATAAAATAGATTTCATACTAATTGCAAAAGAAAAATTACACATTCCTATACAGGGCCGGTCCCGAGAATTTAGAGGCCCTAAACGACTAATTAATATGAGGCCCTTCAACATAATTAGGTTGTACTTAGGAATCATTTTGTAATTAGGTTCTTTTTGGGGCATGATTTGGGTTGAATGATAGGAAATTAAGCAAATAATAGACACAATAGCAGTAAATGTTTTCAAACAACATTAAAGAACAAAATCCAGATCCAAAAATTGAAATTTAAGACAACCCCACAAGAAAAAATGTAAAGAATAAATCTCTGATCAATAAATTGAAATTCGAGGCACAATGTTCTCAAACGAAAATAACCCAGATCAAGAAATTGAAATTTAAGACACCCCACAAGATAAAAACAGCAGGATTTCAAACAGTAGTAAAATGCAAAACCGAAATAGAAGAAGAAAATTAAGGAGGAAATTTTAGACTGCCTGGAGATAAAAAAAAAAATTTTTTAAAAAATTGTTAACAAACAACATTAACTAGCAAGTTCAGATAAAAAAAAAATGAAATTTAAAAAGACAATTCTCACAAGATAAACACAGCTCATGTTTGCAAAAATACCTGCATTTTCAAGGTCAGGGTCTACAACAACATTTTCTCCAAGCTTTATTCCTGGAAGATATTTAACATTCTCCTATGTAAGAAGACATTTATAACAGAAAAATTGCAACAATTAATACAAGAGACAAGAAAAATAACAACACACGACATTTAGAATTTAAAAAATTACAATGGTACGATTTGACTTCCTAGAGTTTTTCTCCCATAGGCAGTGTCGCCTCAAAGTCTTTAGAAATCAGATTTCTAGTTAAGGTTTAATAGAACAGACAGGTTTTTTGGTGAAGATGTTGCCGGTTGGAGTCTTTGAGGAAAAGACGGTTGTTTCTTTGAATCTTTCTTATGTGCTCATTGCTCAACATTTTTTTTTTTTAAAGGGATTTGGGGGTTTTGGGTTGGGGCAGGTTTTGGACTTTCTTTTTTCTCAGAGGCCCCTTAAAATCTGAGGCCCAAGGCCTTGCTTGCCTTAGCCTTGGGCCAGGGCCAACACTGTTCCTATATTGCCAGGCACATAGATATATCAAACTGTGTGCACTCTCTAGTTATACACCAAAAAGTAGGCCAAGTAGCCAACAAAATAATTAGTAACTAATCAAAATAAGTAAAAGAGTCCAAACCAACTTATAATTTGAAGATATAATCGCTTATTTTAAGCAGCAAAAGGTGCAGGAATGTAGGAAACTGCAGGCTCAAGCAAAGAAGCCAAGATTGATGATTTTGAGATAGTCCCTTCTTTTGTAGTGTTTTCAGCCTTAAAATCTAGCGAAGAATCATCATAAACATCCCACCATTTCTTCCCTAGCATCTTAATATCTTCTCTCTGCATGTTCACTTCATCCCGGTATACCTCCATGGCTTTGATCCTTGAATATTGGATTTTTAACCAAATTAGTCATATATTATTCGACTAGTTTTGTAGGACTCGACCACGGTTGGCCATTGGTCCCAGAGTATTATTATTTCGTAATTTTAGAAACTATTTTATATGTTCAGCTTAAAGAGCCTAATCACCCGTTGAGCCTCAATCAAGAGTATGCTCGAGATTCCACTAAATTTCACAAAGAAATCGTACAAATGTTCGAAGAAATCAGATATTTCTTCGTTTTATCTCGCCTTTTTTTCACACAACTTTTCTCTCAAAAGATCTCATAGATCACTCAACCTTTCTTTACAAATATGAAAGGATTAAATCACAAAGATTTTTCAGATTTATAGAGAGAATGAAAACCACGAAGAAAACCTCACTCAGAGAGAGAAAGAGAGTAAAACGAGAATTCTAGAAACTAAACTGTTCAATAGGAATGAAGACCAAGAGCCAAGTAAATATCCATCCAAGTAATCGATCCATCCAAGGGTTGGGGCTGTGCCACATGTACGGCACATCCCAGCCCTTAAAGAGGCAGAAACACGTTTCTTCAAAAACATGATTTAATAAACAAATTTTGGGCCTAAATTATTTTCGCAAAAAACCACAGTCCAAAGAAATTTGTCAGGCAGCCCATTTTTAACATTCTCCACCTTGATGAACAATTTCTTTGTTTCACCAAGTGGACTCGAGCTTCACTTGACCTCACTAGCTCTAAGAACATGTAAAAAAAAAATTTGAAGTTAGTTTATTTTTCAACAAATGAAATTCTGAAAATCACCTGATCAGTATTTTAGGTGATGCTCAGAATCTTCAAACAATTCGTAAATTTATTTAATGTCAGGATTTTTGTTCCTAAATTAGAAGGATTAAATTCTGTAGGGATTTTAACAAGACTAATTACACCTTGTTCAACCATATTCCTTACAAAATGGAATTTTATATCAACAAGCTTTGTTCTGTCATGATAAACTGGATTTTTACTTAAATGAATGACACTTTGGTTATCAGTATGAATAGCAACAGATTCATTTACGAAACCAATTTCATTTAGTAATCCTCTTAACCATATGCTTTCCTTTACAGCATCACATGCTGCTATATACTCATCCTCAGTAGAGGAAAATGCAACCAATTTTTGCAACTGAGATTTCCAACTAATGCAGCTATTACACAAAGTAAATATGTAAGAGGATGTAGATCTTCTTTTATCAAGATCCCCAGCAAAATCTGAATTTGTATAACCCTTTAAGATTACACCTTCATTTGTTCTCTTAAATTTTAGTCCTAGGTTAATTGAGTCTTTCAAGTATCTAAACATCCACTTTATTACTAATCAGTGAGTTTCTCCAGGATTTGCCATAAATCTACTTAGAATGCTAATCCCATGAGCTAGGTCAGGTCTGGTACAAACCATGAGATACATGATAGATCCTACAACATTAGCATAGGGCACCTTTTCCATTCTTTTTATTTCATCATTAGATTTAGGTGATTGATCACTGGAGATTTTAAAGTGATTTCCAATAGGCGAAGAAACAGATTTGCTCTCAAACATAGAAAATCTCTCAAGTATTTTCTGTATATATGAGGACTATTTTAAAATTTGAGTGCAACTAGACCTATCTCTTTCTATTTCCATACCAATAATTCTTCTAGCAGAACCCAGATCTTTCATTTCAAATTCAGATTTCAATTTTGACTTAACAGACTCAATTTTAGATTTATCATGACAAGCAAGTAGCATATCATCCACATATAATAGCAGATAAATGGATTTGGGTCCACCTGACCCTTTGAAAAATAAACAGAAGTCATAACTACTTTTCACAAAACCCAGAGTTTGAACATAAGAATTAAACTTTATGTACCACTGCCTGGGGACTTGTTTCAACCCATAAAGAGACTTTTATTAGCAAGCAAACCTTCTCTGTTTTATGATTTTACTTCATAATCCTTAGGTTGATTCATGTATATGACTTTATCAAGGTCACCATAAAGGAAGGTTGTTTTAAAGTCAAGTTGTTCTAGTTCCCAATCAAAGTGGGCAGTCAAAGCCAATAAAATTCTAATTGAGGTATACTTGGCAACAAGTGAAATTTTTTCATTATAATCCACTCCTTCCTTTTGGGTGAAGCCTTTTGCCACAAATCTGGCCTTGTATCTCTTATTTTCTGTTTTCGAATCTCCTTCTTTAATTTTGAAAATCCATTTGCAGTCAACTACCTTTTTATCATTAGGTCTGATGACAAGAACCCATGTTTTATTCTTTATTAAAGAATCCATTTCCTCTTTAATGGCTTCCTTCCAAAGTTTAGAATCAAGACAATTTATTGCATCTTCAAAATTATTGGGTTCAGAATTGAAAGAGTCTAAAATAGAAAATAAGGTAACAAAGTCATCATTTTTGAATCTGGTTGAAGGTATTATGTTCCTTCTTTCTCTGTCTCTTGTTAGTTGATAATCTGCTAGTGGAGGATTAACAGATTCAGTTTCAGATTCTGAATCATTTTGGTTATTTTCATCATTAGATTGAGTAGACTCCACCTCAATCAAATCATGTCGATCTATATCAGTTCTAGTTTGATCTTCCACAAAGGCTTCTCTCACAAGTGCAGGTTCATCAGATTTAGGAGTTGATGAGCTATTACAGGGAAATATATTTTCATTGAAGATGACATTCCTACTCAATATAACCTTGTAACCATGTTGCTCTTTAACCCAGAGTCTATAACCCTTAGTCTCCTCCCCATAACCCAGAAAAACACATTTTAAGGATCTAGGTTCTAATTTTCCTTCATTTTGATGTGAATAGGCAGCACAA